GGGTGTTGGTTCCCAGATAGCTCAAAAATATCACGTGAGAAATGTACACGGCACGGATACAGTAAAGGGATATCAAACGTCGAAAGCTTGTTGGCGCTTGACAAACTAAGACAGGTGGGTGTTGGTTCCCAGATAGCGCAAAAATATTACGTGAGAACTTTACACGGCACGGCAACAGATGATACTTGGTAAACCAAACACATGGGTATATTGTTGACAAAGCGCAAAATCAGAGTCACCCATAGTCAATCAGAATCAATCATAGTCGAGTCGTAAGTAAGGTTTTTCACACAAATCACAAGAATTCTACTTCTTTTAGTCAGCTCACGGTATAAACTACTTCTTGATTAACAAAAAAAGATACAGTGGCTCTTAGCCAAGCAAGGAGAAACAAAAACAGGTTCCCAGTTGGTGCGGAAGCGACAAATTAAAGAAATCGTTTCATTTATTTATTTTTCCAGGAAGTTGTTGTGAAAGAAAAGTTAGCTGCCATTGGTAAACCTCTAAGGAAGTTTGCTAGTACGCCCAACTTAGCGGCAGCGGTGAGTAATATTTACTCCTAAAGACAATATTACATGCTTAATTCCTTGTTCAACTAGTCTTGCCAGAAAACTGTTGCTAGGAACTAGTTACACGCGAACATTCCGCTGCATCTCGTTTTCGCAGAAAATGGTTGTAAGTTGTAGAAAGTAGACAATAGTTCCCAATTAAGAATATTGGATCGGATACAAGCTGCGCAAGCATGTATTACTTGCACAAAAAGCTCATACAGTCAATTTTCGTCTTGCGGACGCCCCAATACCTTACCGATACCTAACTATTACGGACAGGAGAAAAATCCCTGGTGAAAAATACTGACAAAGAAATCATAGTAATTAACTCTTGGAATTTAGAATTACTGGTTATTGCGAACGGAGGTAAATTGGAGGATCGGATAGTCCGATATGCCTTTGCAGATTTTTGGTATCGATCCCCGTTAAAATGGCGATATAAGAGGGGTGCGTTCTCACCACGCATTCTCACCACGAGACTACGCGTGTGTCCCTAGATCAAGTGGATTATTACAATTAAGGGGGTTGATCATTTTGTGTGTGTTATTTTCTTTATAGTCTGACTTCTCTTTTGGAACCAGTCCTGGTCGCTTTGATTCCCCAGACACCAATCGGCTATTCGATTTTAGGGTAAGCCTTGTGATCTTGTTCTTAATGGGATGTTATCCAAAACAATGGGATGAATCACAAACAAAAATTGCATCATAATCTCTTACGCAGACATCCATAGTCTCATCAAGTAACGCAACGTTTCTGTCACACAACGTTTCTGTCCCGCGAGAAAAACGTTGTGTGACGACCCTATGAACGTCCACCTAGTCGGCTAGCCATAAAAGTCTATATAAAAACTCTTAACATTGTCCTCAAAATGTAGCCAATAGCAAAAAAAAAAGAATCACACTTTTTCTTGGGAAGCGTGAGGCAGTTCTCTAGGGATCTCTTTGGTTTTAGCCCCATTTTTACAAAGTTTTCAAGGTGGTCTTTGCCTGTTGCATGTTTTTATTCAACTTTTTTTTTCTAGTTCCTTTCCTTTCCGTATAAACAGTTCTGATTCCTTACCGTATTTAGGGCAATGTATCCAGAGGACGCGAGGATTTATTGATTGATTTATCGTCATCCTACTCCTCCCCTTTGAGTAGTGGAGCAGGGGGAGTCGTCTTACGTGAACGAACCGCAAGAACTCCTAATTCACGGCCAAGCTCTCTTCTCCTCGAGTTAGAAACTTTAAAAGAAGATTCCAAGGAAGATAAAAGCTCAGCCTCGCCAAGTCCTCGTGTTCCCCTTGTGCTTTTCGATTTCAATGGCTCTAAATCAGTAGCTTCCGACGGCACTATCAGTCCGACGGACAACCTCCGACAGAGAACAGCGAGTTCCGATACGATCACTTACGACGATAATGGACCGACGGTATACGACGATTTGCCGACGCCGACTCCATTTACATTACCGAAAAAGTTGAGCCTTCCTGCAAAGGCAGAAAACATGAGTGCTGATTTTCTCTCAACAAAAACTGATGATGTATTAGATTTAAGTTCGACGAAAAACGAGGAGTTTAAACCGGATTCTACATCTCAAAAAGGTGATAATTTGATTTTAGATTTATTGAACAATGATAAAGGCGAGCTGTCGCTTGTCGATCTTGAAAATGTCAGTGTTACGAATGACCAGGAAGCGAGTCTTCTCGAAGCAACGGCCATTCCACCAAACCAGGTTAGTGCGGAAGGAGCTCGCAATCTATCTCCGTATCTAAACTCAAGTGAATTACAGCCCATGGGCAAGAAAAACGATTCGGATGAAAATTTCATGGATGATGGCAGGGACGAGTTGTCTACCTCAAGGGATGACTTATCGTCTTTAGGAAGTCGCGAAGACTTGACCTCATCCTTTGATAGCATGAACGAGGAATGGGATGATGAAAGTGTCAGTCACTTACGGTCTGGTATGGCTGTAAGACTTGCTGAAGGTAAAACTGGCGTCATCAGGTTTATTGGTCAGACTAGATTTTCTCCTGGTGCGTGGATCGGAGTGGAGCTCGATAAGCCTGGAGGTGAGTGTGCTTGGTGTTTTCTGTATGAATTTTGCTGCTTTTTTAAGAATCGATTTAGTATGTGTAGTGTAATCTTTTTCCAAAATTCTGCTTGTAGGGTGCCGCACGCAACATGCCGCACACAACATTCCGCACGCAACTTCATGTCGTTACAGTCAACTCCTGCCTTGCGAACGCCCTAATATTACGGACACCTCACTATTACGGACAAGAGCAAAATACCCGGTGAAAAATACTGACAAAGAAATCACTGTAATAAACTCTCGCTATTGGAGACCCTCACTATTCCCGTCACCAAGGGACGGTCCCGAGGGTGTCCGCTGTAACGAGAGTTGACTGTATTGTGCTATAAGCAACCGTTAGAAATAGTAATCTGCTCACACGGAGCCGCGCCCAACATACTACACACACCAATATGTTACTTGATATTACTAGATCCATAGCCTCACTTATTCAATAATACATTTTGTTTTGACAGGAAAAAATGATGGCTCCGTTAAAGGTATTCGATACTTTGCCTGTAAACCAAGATTCGGTTCATTTGTCCGCCCCGACAAGGTTACTCCAATTGAGCACAGTGCTCGAGAACGAACCACGTCCCGCAAGTTTACGGGATCCCGGGATAACACCTCGAGAACCGCGTCTAACAGAGGCCTAGACAAAACCGAAAGCACATCTCGTACATCTCTTGTAAAAAATGCCGCCAAACGACGGACTGAGAGTCCCACGAGAGGTCGTACCGATAGTCCCGTCGGAGAATCCCGCACTGCGGGACGGGTCGAGAATACGCCTAGCCCCGTAGTAAGGCGCGAGAATGCCGCTGCAAATCGTAAAAAGAACGACTGGAAAAGACGGTCAAATATTTTATTTTAAATTCGGGAATTTATTCGATAATTGAAGGCATAAACCTTCAATAGCAAATCAATAATTGGAACGCTTTAGTATGGTAAGATCAGCGAAGGGGAACTCCTGAACTAAATCGGGGAAATCGTACGATAGCAATGTCTCCTGGTTTAAACACGTCAAATGATTGAATATCTGGTGGTGTATCAGCACCTCTTCGATGATCTTATGAAGGATCTCCCAGAAGACCCTGTGAAAGCATCCAATAATACGAGAATGATCCGATAGCGTATCTACCTCACGGTTTGAGCGTCGATAACTCCTTCACGAGGTCAAATACGAGAATATTCCGATAGCGTATCTACCTCACGGTTTGAGCGTCGATAACTCCTTCACGAGGTCAAATACGAGAATATTCCGATAGCGTATCTACCTCACGGTTTGAGCGTCGATAACTCCTTCACGAGGTCAAACACGAGAATAATCCGATAGCGTATACATGTACGTCAAGGTTTGGGGAACGTTGATGTCTGCTTCACGACAAACATTGAACAGGATGAAGGTCAAATACGTTAATTTAATGCATGGTTTTTTTATTTGTTTATGTGGGGATTTTAAGATCATTCTTCATTTTAATTGTTTTATTTTATTTCTTAGACAGTAATAGTTAATTGGGTTCATATTTTATGGCCCAAAGTGTTTTTTAGCACTTAAGGTGTTTTCTACAGATCCACTTTTTTGGTGTTCGCTGAGGTAATGATTTTGAAACGTTTGTTAACAACAACAATAACCCAAATAACAAAAATACTACCATTAGCATCAACAACAACCAAAATAAACGCACTAGCATCATCGCCATCGCCATCAATTACGAAGATAACCACAATCAAAATAACAAAAAACAAAGAAAAATATAACATTGCGAACAACAACAACAAAAACAGAATTAGCACACTACCGTCATCACAATCCATAACAATAACTACAATCAAAATAACAACAACAATACTACCATTCCAATACCACCACCAACAACCACAACGATGACCAATACCTCAACAGCAACAAATGACATTGATTAAACGATAGCAATAACAAAAATGATAACAATAACGACAACTACATCAATAACACTATAGAAACGATAATACGACAATGTCAGTCACAACAACGACAAATCTTAGCCAAGAGTTAGAGCAGTTTTCGTATGACTGTGAAAACCTCACAGCATAAACACAGTCGTGACACTGCAAGGGATACGCCAGACCAATCACACTGCTCGAAAATTTACTCTCCATCCAATCAAATACCCGGAACACGGCGTTGACACGGTCACACCAAGGTCACGGCACTGTCAGACCAATCACAATGCGCGAGAAAAAAATCAGCCAATCCAAATTCTAGAAACCACGGTCACGGCAAGGCACGCATACGGAACTGAGCTTTTCACAGTCATACGAAAACTGCACTAACAAGAATAATAGCAATAACATCAAAAGATATAACTTTCAGCTGACACCAAAAAGAGCGAAGGACCTGAACACAAACATAGAATAATAGAAAAAAAATACAATAAGATTTCAATTGTAAATAGCTTATAGATAAAGGTTAGGAACAAGGCGGGATTTGCATTCCAGCTCTTAAACTGTTTACTCTAAGAAAGCCATAGAAAATATGCAGCAGTCGAAAAAGTGGAAAGTTAAAAATTGGTAGACGACATCGTTCTGAACAACTCGTTCTTATGGCTCTTAATTGGTTAAGAAGAGCAATAGCGCATGTTTAGTTATCTACAACGGGTCGTATCACGTCGTATTTACTATAGGTCACGTGACTATCCGCGTCTGCCATTATGATAGACAATACAGTACTAGTATTGGACGTTTTTTAGAATTTATTCTCATATCACGATCAGTTTTTTATTACAGAATCATATGTTCTCTTAATAATTTACAAATACGATAAACACTTACGAAGTTAAGGCTGAGTTAAGGGAATTTAGTATTAAAAAAACACGCAAAGGTATGGTCCTGTTGCTGGGTTTCAATCCGCTTATAAAAGTCTTTGGATCTCATCTGTTCCGAATGATGGTCAAACACTGACCAACATGTGCTTGCTTTCAGCCAGAAAAAATTCTATAAAAACATTGCAAAAGATATTTTCCAAGATGCGTGAGCGTTGTCAAAAGTATCGCTTGCTCAGATTCGAAAGCGAGGAGGATTAATATTCTTTCCTTCAAGGGTTTTTTTGAACGTTGTCCAAAAATTCCTCGTTTTTCATGTCTGCGCCTACGATATTGATGAAAGCGCCCGCTCATCTCGGAAACCATCTATTCAGCTGATGAACATTGAGAAACCCAGCAATAGATACTGACCATGATAATGGAGTCTATATTTCACGAATCGGATAGTTCGAGTGTTTTTCATGTTTCTGCGGCCCAAAGACAACTCCGTACGGTGTTTCTAAGTTTTTGGTTTCGTTTCAAATTTACAACGGCCTCGTAAGGCGCGATTACATAGAGCAATTTTCTCTGCAACTTGTTTCGCAACAGCGTTGCGATGCTCCGTGCAACTTGCCGGTGTCGCAACATTTTTTCGGGCCAAGTTGCAGAGAAAATTGTCGCTCCGTGTTACTGAGCTTTTAGTCAGTAAACTTTGTGAGGACTTGCTAGGGAAAATTGGTTATCCCTTTTTGTCTAACCAAGGATCTGCCTTGGTCGCAAAAACTTGAAAACTGCTCCATAAACGAGAGGATTTTTCGAATGAGCGGGAAACGTACATTTTAAATCTTTAACCAATCAAACCAATCAAAAACCGAGATATACCCTCGGCCAATCACAGTGCCCGGAAGCCATTTAAGTGCAGCCACTTTGCGTTTCCCTCTCGTACTAAATTTCCTAAAAGGAATTTTCTCAACTTCTACATCCTATTATAAATTTTTTCGGAGCGATCACGATATTATTTTAAACGCTAAAAATTTGAATATCCAAAGACCATTGGATGCAAAAAGAAAATTAAATAAAGACCGAGTAGAGGTCTAATCAGTTTTTTTAATATTTAGGAGAAAAGGGGTAGGGATATACGAAGATATTTTGCTACATTATTGCAATAGAAATAGAATAAATGAATCGAGTAATAAACCAAGTCTTTCTTAACGAAGAATCTTCGAATGGTTTTCTTGATAAGACTTCGACAAGTAAAAATGAATTAAGTAAATAAAATCGTGAAAAACATCAAATTTGAGTAGTTCTATGTTCTTTTTTGGCGTATCCTTCGGTATAGCTTTGGTATAAGCCATTCCGAGGTTGCGTAAAAAAAAAAAAAAAAAAAAAAAAGCGTCGAGTTGTTGGCATTTCAGTGCATATAGTTTTGGTGCTGTCAGTAAGGGGCATATTTCCAAGTTGGCGTCTACTTGTCGTCTCCTAAAACAGCTCCAGAAAAAAATTAATGTGGAGAGGAGCAGGAGGGTTGTTTTTAGCTTGGGATACTTTAGCAGCTTTTGGGCCATGAGCGCAAGTGTTTCGAAAACATCGCGCGCGCTATTAAAGAAAGCTCTAGGACTATAAAGCATAACTTATTTCATTACCAATTTTATTTGCTTTCCATTAGCTTCAATGCTCTGTATCGACACACCACTTAGAGAGAAACTTTTTAATGATCTTTATGATTTCCTGTATTTGACTTAAATACGGTATATTAGATTGGAACATCCTGTATTCAGTTTTCTCTAGAATATAAACCACGGTATACTGTATATAAACAAATTATATTTATGAAACGAGAGGTCAGTGGTTAACGAGTCCCGCGAGAACCCAACTGAGGCAGATTTTTTAATCTGCTTATACACTCGATGTAGCATACACTTAACATATAAATTATATTTTGTCATATTTTTTGCTCAGTATGACGATAATAATGAGCAACAAAGCTCATGACTATTTCGCCTACGGGAAAAAAAGTGGATTAAGTGGAGGGAAAAGTGGGACGATCGTTCACAGTCTACAGTAAAATAGTGATTCTAGCTTTTATAACCTTTTTTTTAAATGTCGATTCTTCGGGCCAGACGTGTTGCGCAATAGCTGTTTAATTTTTTTTCTTCATTTTTGCTATTGTATTTTACTTCATAGTATAGAGCCATCAATTTTAAGGCATTCATCATAATTTATTTTTTCCTTTATTTCATATTATTTCATATTAATTTATATGACATTTTATTGCAAAGCTATTTATTCCAAGGCATAAAAATGATTTCTTTTTCATTTAAAACCTTCTGACGTCAATGTAATCTTGTCTACATTGAGTTCATTCCTTTTAAGCCGGAAAATCTTAATGGCGCCCAATAAAACGATCTAGCAATTACTAACTAAGTGCGTCGCTTTGACACAGTTGTCTCTAGCGTCGGTAAAAAGTAAATGAAATTCATTATACATGTTATTATATGTTATTTACCGGCCAGGAGGTCCGGATAGGGAAAAACTGTGCCCGAGGTCTTGAATATACGGACCGAGGCCGTTAAACCAAGGTCCGTTTTCAAGTCTGAGGGAACATTTTCTCCCTATCCGGACTGACTTTAGGACGGTAAATAACTTCTTTTATTTATTTATTTGTTCTTTAATCAAGACGCGTTGCTACTGTTGTTTAGCGGTCCCAGAATACCGGACCGCGACCGCGGGCGGATACTGAGAAAATACCGCCTGCTCAAATAGCCAATCAGAACGCTCGATTTTTTAGGATACGACCGGACCAGAAAAATAAGAAAATGTATATTTTACGCCTACATTGTAAATATACTGGGTGTATATACTGAGGTGTTATTCAAAAAAACTAGTGAGCTTTTTTTAGAGGAAAGCTAATCTTTATAGACCTTCAATTAATACGTGATACAAATGTTAGAATCAGCTTATGCGTGTAAACTAGTCGAAACGCAAGATGTTAAACTTTGATGAGTATAGCTTTTAAAATCAAAATTGACCCAATTTTAAAAAAATTTCCCCTGTTAAATAAATTGCGTATTCTCAATGTACAGGAGGGAACTTGGAGAAAAATCGATAAAATCAACTGAAGACTCAAATGTTAATATGGATGGATGGATGCTAATATGGTGTTGCATCGCAATTATTAGTATAGCTGCCTTGATAGAAATCAAAGAAAGCTTAAGTTTGGTCGAAGGTTATTTATACTTCATCGACAAATAACATAAAACAGCTCCCAGAACGTCAGCAAACCAAACAATCCATCATAAACCACAATGACTTTCCTAGAACTCGTCTTTTCGCTACTCAGCTTATCAAAGCACTGATACTCCGTATTGTTTAGCGAACATTTAAAGGATGATGGGAAAGCTGGGGGTACCAGCCCTAGAAGTAATGCCATCATAATCACGAGATATAAAGTCCTGAATGATAACTGAATAACGTAGGGTCGTATCAAGAGAGGACTTGGACGACGAGGGTGTTCTTCTTGGTGACTATCATGTGGTAGACGTCCAAAAGCGCAGAGTAAATACAGAGCCCACACGCTGATTAAGACTAAACCGTTAATTAATGCAAACGTACCGAGTGAAACAGGTGAATTGTATTCCTTGTCGTATGAATGGTAACACTCGGTGTTTACGTTTTGATCTGCAGCTTGGTGTTTTGATCCCGAGGTCGTTTCACATGAGAAATCGTTAAAATCTTGATTGTAGATGTACCCAGATACGAATGGCAGAATAATTATCCAGAATAAACAAGAAACTACGAAGAGAATACCCCCACAACGTGTCTGCGTCTTTTGAACTTCGCCAAAAAAGATACTTAAGCTTCTTGACATGATGAAGATTGTATCTGACAAAGTTTCAATTGAAAAAGCAACGGTTTTCCATCAAGGCATCCATGCACTTCGTCGACTTTACTACCAAGAGTTCGTTAAATCCTTGTGGGGTTGTGTTAACAATACCAACAGCTTGTGGCGATGTTTTTTCGTAGAATCCTCTTCTCCCTGAAAAGATATAAGAACTTCAGTAAGAACTGCTGATCGTAGCAGTAATGACACGAAAAAAATTAACCAATACATCCCTATTAGCAGTGAACGCTTCTCCTTCTAAAATTGCCACCAACAATATAGATAACTTGCGCTAAAAGGGCGAACACTCAGGGATAAAATATACATGTTGTTTTCAATATCGGAACCCCTATTGGTTTACAGCTAATTGTATTTCCCAGTTGATGTCAGATAGACATTGGAATTACTTTAAGTTATGATTTACAGCAACTTGGTATGCCATTTGGTTAATTTGCCGAACAAATAACCACCATCATGTTTTGTACGGAGATGTTTTTTGCTAATCGTGTTAGACTGATGACGTCACTGGTACGGAAATCGTGTTTTTACCTTCCTTGAGGCATGTCAAAAAATTTGAGAATATTAGTCACAGTTATTTCAAAAGGTTGCGTATGCATCCAACTTGACGGGCCACAAAATTGAAAAACGCAAATTCAATAAAATTGAGGAGACAGTTTTATATTTAAAGAGGAGAATAATCGATTAGATGAATTCTTATCGAAATGTTTTTTATAACAATGCATGAAAATACTCGTGTTCTGGTACTTCAAGTTCCTTAAATTTGGATGCGCACGCAACCTTGAGAAAACGGTCAATTGATTATCAAAAACGTACTGATGCTGATACTGATGCTGATCAAAAAATATATATATATACATAGTAGAAATTTCAAAGTAGTTGTGCTAGTAAATACTATATTCAACATACACTGCATACAGAATACACTTTCCAACTGAAATTCTCTGCAAGAAGTTAGGAGACCAGTACTTATACATCAATGTAGATATCGGGTGATCTATTGTCTTATTCGAGTTACAAAATGCGGAACAAATATTGAAATGTAGAGTAAAATAAAGAAAACTACCTTAGCCTACATAAGGCAAACATTGGAGCCACTTATAGATAGATAGATATAAACTTAATTTATAGAGGGTAAACACTGAATAGTATACAATACTAATAAACTCGTTGCCCTCAAATATACTTATGCTTACTAGACGTTAGTATAAATTGATTTCGACTTCCAGAAAAGTCGTTCCCAATGCTAATAAAATATGCGCCAATAGTCGGTAGGATTCGGGTTTGAAACAGCTGTCATAATTCTCTCTCTCTCTTTCTTCCTTCCAGGTGATCTGAAATCTAGACACGCAATGCATTGTTTGTCACAGCGAAGATTTGCTAGTGTTTTCTATTATCTCTTCTATTAGCTCTTACTCCGACGAAGGACTAACGTCCACAACGTCAGTTTAACAAATCTTCTTACGGTGATTCAATTTATCCATAAGTTCCTAGTGTTTTCTATTATCTCTTGATAAAACGATTTCCCACTAACGACGACAAAATATACTACTTCTAAAAATTATTTGGTAAATCTTTACACGGATGTGTTTTAATTTCTTTATTTTCAAGTTAAAGACAGTTTTTTTTCGAGCCGAAAACTTGGAATTAGGAAATCTTGAACTACGAACAAAACGTTTGCTGATTGGCTAATTCGTTCTGCCTGATAGAACCTTGATTATCTGGTTGCCAGGAAATTATTCTCTTCTCCTCTACCGACTTGCTTGAAAAATGTCCCTCTTTTCCCAAATTTCCTCCCACCTTTTTTGTGAGGAGGGATGTGGGGAGGAATGTGGGGGGGNGGGGGGAGAGAAGGGGGAAGGGGGTTGAGCGTTTGCTTGTGCGCAACTCACTCATATTTTTGTTATTCTCTATTGAATTGGTAAGTTGTACGGGGCAGCCATATTGATCTTCATCACTAAAAAACCGTCGAACGATAGCCTGGGCTACCTGTGGTACGATGGTATATTTTTTTACAAGATCTTATTTTGAATATCTAATTAAATTTGTAAAATTATAACAAGGGTCAAAGGTCAGTAAGGCAAAGATATATAAAAACTTGCGCACTGCAGCCGGAAATAGAATATTAATCCTCATAAAACATTACCGCGCTCCACCACGATAAATTATAGTAAATGTAACTAGGCTACCATAGGATATCAAAAGAAACTGTCGTCTGAACAGTTCTGATACAAACGCATTTCCCAGACTGCAGATTATTTTGCAAGTCTAATTTATTAGGAACAAGTTTCTCGAAGAAGACAAACCTCGATCGCTCGGTGCAAATGAAGTGATTTTCAAAACAATATTCACAGATGTAAAATTAAGTTAAACTCCGGATTTACTGAGCTCTCTTTTGAATCTTAGAGGCGATGCTTTATCTACCCTATAAAGTTTGTCAATAAGCCACTCTAGTACATCAATTAAATATACCTTAAATACGACGCACAAGCTTTTAGTATGCATGCCTAAATACGTAATAGGCTATATATATAACAGTCCTACCTTTGGTCTAGGGATCGCAGGGCAAAATATACGCGTCTTGCACAATCTGTGGTTGAAAAATATCGTGTTTGACAAGCTACCACGAAACGCTCAGTACTGATATAAGGTACATAAAGATATCAGTTTACAATATTGATGTAATAACCTCGTTATAGAGTGGCTAATACTACCTGAGCCAGCGATGTCTTTTAGGTAGCCCGCTGAATCGTAATGGCGGAAGAACCTGATCAAGTTTAAAAAATAATAGTATATTATCCCTCCAATTTGTATCATTTAATCAAACAAATTTAATTCTAGGATCATTTTAAAATAATATTTATACAATAAGCTATGGATTCAACTTCAGAGAAGGTAAGATAAGTATCATTTATAGAATATTTTTTATTTTAAAATTTAGAGGAGCTTTTCTTTAGTTTCACTTTTAAAGTTTCGTAAAAGTCAAGATTCTTTGTATTTTCTTGTTTTAAGATTCTTATGGAACCTTATAACTACATTCTACAAGTTCCTGGCAAAAGGATAAGGGAAAAGCTTATTCAGGTATTTAAAAGTTACAAATTATAAATAAATATAGTTATCAAAATGGGTACATTGGTACAATAGGCTAAATATTTGTCTATTTTGCCCATCTCCTCTTAAGAGCTTGTAAAAGTCCAGCTCGCAGAAAGTAACACATTAGAAGAGGAGAAGTAAACTGCATGGTTTTTCAGAGCAGGGTTTTCATGAGCCTTTTTTTCTCTTTTTTTTTTTTTTTTTTGAAAAGAATGAAATAAAAAACTTTCTTGTCGTACTGTGTGCAGTTATTTAGCACTTGGGGATTATTAGAACACCCAAGAAGTGCTGAAATGTGTAGTTGCAGTTCCTTACCATGGAGGGAATTTGGAAAAGGACTACCCTACCCCCAGAAACTTCCAATTTTCTTCCATACAAACTCTGTAATTTTGTTTGTTTTCTGACCCCTTCCCCTCCAGAATTTCCAATCTAATTTCCTCTGTGGGTGGGGTATGGATATTTTCTGGAACTGCAAAATATGCAAAATTTTCTCCCATTTGTATTATGTCATTCCTCACCTGTTTTATGAATGCACATATCTAAGCCTTTCTTCTACAGTCAGTCAATGCATTCATAGTCACTGGCCAAGTTAGTCTAAACTTGTCCATACCTCATATATCTGGTTTGACGTTTAACTGTTCAAAATGACCGGCAAGGCAAACATTTGACCAGACAAGTTCCAATTCTGGCCGTACAGCACATTGTCCAATGACCAGCTGTTATTTTATAAGCCCAGCCCACTGAACTATCGTTCCAAATATTAATTTTATCTATTTGTGTTTTGAAGTATTTACTGATCACATATTGATTTCAATTCTCTGCAGGCTTTTAATCTTTGGTTAAAGATACCAGAAGACAAGTTGAATATAATCTCTGATGTAGTGAAAATGCTGCACAACTCAAGTTTAATGTAAGAAAAAACAGAGTTAAATAAGTTAAACTAATAGAAGACCTCTTTACCTTGAACATAGATGTTTTCACATTTCAGTCCACATATCATCCCCTCGCCTAAAGAGTATTATATTTCCTTGGCTATTGGTTGTGCATAAGGTGACACTTGAATATGGATCCATGCAACTTAAATAATCTTATTTTTGAAGGAATGTTGACATATTGGTCTAAAAGTTTTGGAGAAAACGGGATGCTGAAAATAAAAGGTTAAAGTTTGGCTATTTACAAACATGGTTTTGGTAAAGAAACTGAATTCAAGCTAATCAGAAATTAACAGGACAAACACATCTCAGCAAGTGGCTACAGTGGGACTCAAACCCGGCACCACCAGATTGTGAGACTGATGCTATGACCACTCAACCATGCTGCCCCCAATTTTACCACCATTAGTTGACCTAATGTTCTTAACATCAATAGGATTGATGATATTGAAGATAATTCAAAGCTGCGCAGAGGAATACCAGGTAACATTCCTATTGTTATAATTTCTTGTGAGCAAGCAGAGGGCTAAGAATAATGGCTGTTCAATGACCAGACATGATGACTTAGAGCAGTGAAGTCAGTAGACAGATCCACATGGTGGCCATCTTATTATGTTGGTGGTATTAGCAAAGGCAGATAATAAGAAATATTTTGTTAAATACCACTTGTATGGCAGCTTGCAAGCAATAATTATCAAGAAAGCAAAGTTTCAGCCCATACTATATGTGGGGCAGAGGGGGGGGGGGCACAAAACTAAAAAAGATGCACCTTTTAGCAATTTTTAATGTTTAAATATTAAAAGTTTATAGTAACCATTCCAAGCTAGAAGGGGGAGGGGGTGGGTATGGACACCCTGTGACCAGCCCGTGACTTCCCTACCTTGGGGTTAAAACAATAGCAAATATTAACATTAGAAAATTATTCAATCCTCAAGGGAAAGGAATTATTTTGTTTCAACCCCAGATTGGGAATTAGCAGGGATTAACATGACGATGGTTGTTTATCAATGTCCTGCTAAATTGAAACTTAGTTGTCCAGTTAATTTTTTTTCTCTTGCCCAGTCTCTTGACTAATAATGTCGAGACAGAAATAAGGCAGAAATGAGCGCTATTTTACCTGCCATCGTGGGAAAAGAAACAGAATATAATATAGATAAAAAATAAAACTAATTTGGCCAGTGATCACATGACTACTGATAGTCTCCCTCGCAGCTGCTATCAGTGTTGTCATGCAATGCTGATGGTAGAAAGCATTGTGTGTCAAGACTTAGATAGAGGCTGTGAGGGAGAATAGACCATGCCAGTGACTGAGCAAGCATGTCAAGTCTTATTTTTTTCTCTTAAATAATTAAGATAACCAGCACTTTAAAAAATTGCTTATTTTAATTTAAATCCATTCTATTTCCAGTTACCCACAATATATTTGGAGTAGCACACACCATCAATAGTGCTAACTATATGTACTTCAAAGCTTTAGAAAAGGTCTTGTCGTTAGACCATCCAGGGTGTATTCACATATTCACAGGTGAGTAAAGTTAGGATACTTCTCAAATTTTACATTCCAGAGAGACTTTGCTTTAGTTCTTTCAGTCATAGTTATCAGTCCCAGCCACAGCACATTTGTTATTGATACTGCACATTTCATATTTTGATGATAATGAGAAATATATCTTTTTATTTGGGGGCAAAATGACATTTTGGTGAAATTATGACTGGCTAGAGTATCATATAGAGGCTTTGCACCATCACATGATGGCAGCCATGACAGGAGGCCAGAACAATTGAATCTGGTTTAATCTGACTTACATGAGAAAGAATTCAGTTCTCCTGGAGGAAAAGACTCTATCGTAGCTAATTCAAAATTGTACAAATTACTGCAAAGTTTGTAGGTCTATGATCTACTGAACTATACTAATTTGTGCAATTTTGTGCAATTTCTCACAAAGCTTTTCAAGGATATATGTTATTCACTCTAAATGGGCTTTGGGGTCAAGAATGGCCTAGTATTAGTAGAGATTTGGCAGAGGTAGAATAAGGGGTTTATTAGAGACATATTGGAGAGAAATTATAGTTGTAAACTTAATGTTTTTGTCTTAGAGGAGTTGCTGGCTCTACATCAAGGTCAGGCTATGGATATTTACTGGAGAGATTGGTTTACTTGCCCAACAGAAGATGAATATAAAGATATGGTTTGTAAAAGTAAGTAATCAATCATAATCCTCGGTTCAAATTATTTGGGACTGTTTTTATTTTGTACCCTTTCCCTCTTTCTTTTCCCATTTCTTTCAATCAATCAATCAATCAATCAATCAATCAATCAATCAATCAATCTTTATTTAGTACCATAATACAGAAAAATTGTACAAGCCAGCTGTAGCAGCCATAGGCTAAACAAAACAGTTGAAAAATTATAAGATTACAGATTTGCTTATAGTAGTCAAGTATTGTCCATCTAATGACATTTCTTTTGTTTCCATAGAAACTGGAGGTTTATTCCGAGTTGCTGTCAGACTAATGCAGCTGTTCAGTGAAAACAAGAGGTGAGGTTTAATTACACAGGTAGCCCATACAAGGTTCCTGTGGTGTGGTTTATATAAGTCTGGGATGTATGGAGTTGGGATTAAAATATCATGAAGATGTTTTACTGAACAATAGACCTCTTTACCTTGAGCGTAAGGTTTCTTTCCATTTCAGGCCACATGTCATTCTCTTTAGTATAAGGTTTTTTGTTGAGTTGTATTCATATTCATGTGTCTTTTCATGCACAACCTTTAAACAAAGAAATAAAACTCGAGGGAATGACACGTGGTCTGACTGAATGGGTAAATATTACACCCAAGGTCAAGAGGTCTATTTGCTGTTAACTGTTCTGCAAACTTTGTCCATTATTCTGGTGAATTGTTTTTAGCTTTCTGTCTAAATTTCTTTCAATATATGTTGTGTTTTTTTTCTATTTCAGTGATTTCTTACCTCTGCTTGACACTTTGGGTCTGTATTTTCAAATCAGAGATGATTATGCCAATTTGCTATCAGAAGAGGTACGTGTGCATAAGACGTAACTTTCGATTTGAGCCCACAATGTGCGCGCGCACAAAAAATGCTCCAAACCGCTGAATAACCTTCAAAAGGAACCATACACGTTTTGAACTTCAAGTGGGCAAAACCCTCAAATTTTGACTCAATTTATTTTCTTTCTTTCTTTCTTTTTTTTTTTTTTTTTGATTTTCGAAAGAGTATATACGATAAAGGAGAAACTTTTGACAGTGTTTCAAAAAAATGACATGGGCTTTACTCAGAAAAGCGATAAGTGTACATTTTTGGCATTTCTTTTTTTCAGTACCGACAAAACAAAAGCTATTGTGAAGACCTGACGGAAGGAAAGTTCTCGTTTCCTATAATACATGGAATACAACACGACTCCAATAGTACCAAGATTATCAGTATCCTTTGGCTCAAGTATTCAATTTATAATGTTTATAAGTATATGTAAATTATGGAATAATAATAACTATCGGTTAACTGCGTAGTCTCCTTTGCAGCCGTTCTTAGTGTCGGTCCCAAAACTCCCTCTCCTAAACTGCGCAGAATTATAAAAATACGTCAGGAGCCAATAAGAGCGTTAAGTACTGCTTTGAGACAATATTGTACGTCTTCACTAATAAAACAAATGCGCGCTACAGGGCCGTGACCAGAACTTTTACAGGGAGGGTGCACATCGAATAAAATCGGACCATTGATCGATTTTTTTAAGAAAGCAGAACCAAAAAAACAAGGAGATGGATGAGCGGACCTTAAGCTTTTATGGGGGGGGGGGGGGGGGGGCCCCCCCCCTATGGCCCTGCGCTAGATGTTACACCTATTGTACCGTGACGCGTGATATTCTTCGCTCATTTAATGGTCTTTGGCAGTGCTAGAAATAAGCACTAGCANTCTTCACTAATAAAACAAATGCGCGCTACAGGGCCGTGACCAGAACTTTTACAGGGAGGGTGCACATCGAATAAAATCGGACCATTGATCGATTTCATAAAAAAAGCAGAACCAAAAAAGCAAGGAGGGGGATGAGCGGACCTTAAGCTTTGGGGGGGGGGGGGGGGGGTGCACCCCCCTAGTTACGGCCCTGCGCTAGATGTTACACCTATTGTACCGTGACGCGTGATATTCTTCGCTCATTTAATGGTCTTTGGCAGTGCTAGAAATAAGCACTAGCAACTAGCTATATAAACCCTGGCAGTCAGCACCCTCAGTGCCTACATGTCATACTAACCATTTGTCATTGTGAATGGCATATATGACATAGCATGTACTTTGCATACCTTATATTTCCTTAACGTACATGTATTCTAAGATATCTTAAAACAGCGAACTGAAGATGTTGACATCAAGAAGTATTGTATTGATTGTCTAGAACAGGTAATAAGGCCAAATATCTTTTCTAATATTTTTCTATTTCTATTTATTTTTTATTCTTTATCTTTTTATTCCCTTTTTCATCGTCATTGACTGTGGGGCTTAGCCAGATAGGTGCAATCTTTACACCCAATTATTTATTTATTTATTTACATTCATATTTTAACAGGAAGCTTCTTCACTTATAAATGTGATTTTCAAGAAGGTCCTGATAAATAAGATATTTTGACAGTAATATGTAAAAAGAGAATTTGAAGGTTGAATATCGAAACCAGCTCGTTACTAAAAGTCAACATCATTATTACTAGTATGTAAAAATGTAAAAGATTAAAAGTTCAAATTATTTAGGTTTACAAGTTTAAAAGAAATTTGATTTAAAATGGTTAATATTAGAACACTGTTTAAGTGTGTCACTCAGATTGTTCCATTCTTCCATAGCTTGATACTGCATTGTGTGCATTTTTGTGTATAAATGTTGATTGTAATTTTGTTTGTTTGTTCAGAGTGGGTCGTTTGCTTACACCAGGGATGTACTTAAAGAACTTGAGCAAAAGTAAGTCCACTAATACTATACTGCGAGCAGTCCCACTTTTCCCTCCAGGGATTCCTGTGGACGCGCGGAGACTGGAGCCTAGTAGGGGGTACTGCTCGTAAACTAACAAATACATGCGAATATATCCGTTACCATCATATTCCCATATGCAGCTTATCTTAATTGGAGGAAAAAGCAATATAATTTTACTATGATGAAATCCTCCGTATTGTTCGTTTACGCATGACGTCATAGCCGCCATCTTGGTTGAATTTAACAAAAGAATTGTCGATGAATTATTTTGTTTTATTATATAATTAGTATAGGAAATCGCACGATCTCGAGTATAATTTGGAAAATAATAGACACGAGTAATGTTTTGAAAGTTCTTGTAATTGCACGAGCCTTTAGGCTCGTGCAATTAAAGAACTTTCAAAACATTACGAGTGTCTATTAATTCCAAATTGTACGAGAAGATCGTGCGATTTTTTGTTTATAGTTCACTCAACAAAATTTCAGTATAAAATGCGAAGCGACGCCGTTCGTCTTTGTCTATTTGGCGGCCGATTTTCAGTCCATCGCGCAACTGAAATGCAAAAAAAAGATTAGCTCTTACGGCTTTAAAATTTTATTTATAAGTTTTTTAAGTACAAAATGATAGAAAATAATTGTTTTGAAATTGTTTTGGCCGTGTTGCCATAGCGACTTAATTCGGTACTCCTACGGAGTACAATTAACGCTATAATTGTACTCCTCTCGACCAATCAGAGTCGAGTAATTTTGTTTTATTATACAATTACCAATGAAATATCTATTTTTCTCTATTTCCAAAAATTGATATCTTCACACGTGAAAAAAACATGTTATTTTCACGTGTGAAGATAACACCATTGTGATGGCTATTCAAAAATACAATTGCCTGAAAAAGCCAAAACATACTTCATTGATAATTATATAATAAACAGAATATTACATGGTCGCTTGAAGATACGAATTTTATCTTCTCGTGTTGAAAATCTCTCACTCGTTCGCTACGCTCACTCATAAGAGATCTTTTCAACACTCGAAGATAAATTCCGTATCTCCGCGCGCCCATGTAATATCCTCTATATATCAACCAACATGGCCACCGAGTCTTAGGTTATTTCACTCTCTCGGGAATAATCGAAAAGGAGCAATAGACCTTTTTTAACCGATACGGCTGCCATCTTGAATTTTATTGTTATGTAAGACATTATGGGATGCCGAGAGGGCAAATATTGGAAAATGTATTGACTGCACAGCTGTCAGGGTGTCTTGATATAACTTTACGCTTTTCGATGAAAAGCATATCTAGAAAGCAGATGAATTTGGTGGTAGTTGGAACCAATTTGGGAAACACCAATATTTCACTTTATTTGAAAACGAAACCCCGCCACTCTATGTTTTATAAATACGTTTGCCCCCTTGACATCCCATTATTAAGGATGGCCGCCGTATCAGTAAGAGGGTCTATTGATCTACTTAGGGACTTGCTACAAGGGGTCTATTGCAGTTTGTTACCAACTAATGTTATTATCAATCGTTACCGAGGGTTTTCAGTGGCTAATGCGCCGCCTCTCACCAATGCGACCCGAGTTCGAGTCCTGCCGATCTCGATGTCGTAGAGTACAGTTGTTTGTTGGTTCTCTCCTGTGCTTCGAGGGTTTTTTCTCCAGATTCTCCAGTTTTCCTTCCTTCTCAAAAATCAACTCCTAAATTCCAATTCGATCTCTGGGCTTTTACTTAGTTTGGAGCCTAGCTCTGTTGTGATTGTCCCACGCTGTGATACAACAGCTAAAGTTAGTAGATTTTTAGATTTTTTTTCTTGTACCCAGACCCCTCTCAGCGAAAAATCGATTTTCTAACCTGAAAAGGATTTGGGTACGAGAATGTGGTTTTGTTTGCCGAACTAATGGATCATCACTTGTGGTCTAATAAATTTCCTATTGCTGTTATAGAGCCTTGCAGCTGATCCAAGAAATGGGTGGAAATCCTCAACTTACTAACGTTGTCCATCACCTGAGTAAAATATACTCCGAATAAATAATACACTTCTTTAATATTAATGATTAACGAAACTTTAAAGTGCACACTATATTATATATATATTATAAAATAACTATTATGAATGTCGCGTTCTGGTTGGTTGGGAGCGCGTGCTTTATGAGAGCACACAACACGCTCGCGCACTTTCCGGTAATATATCTCAGATCTAGGTCCGCGACGACAGTCGTCCGCGACTTTAACCCAACAAGGCCGATTTTGTTATTTTATAATATATTTATTGCACATTTGGAGAGCGACTACATCCGAATATTAAGAGTTTTTAGATCCCATTCCAAACAAGAGAATTTCTTTAATTTTTATATTAGAACTAGTTGATTATTTCAGTATTATCGCTTACTAGTCACACTCATATTTGCCTTAAAGGCCTCCAACTCCGTTTAGCAGTGTTAAGAAAATAGAATACAATATTATACGTAGATCATGGGGGGATCCGGGGGGGGATGAATTGGTGTCTAGTCACCCCCCTTTGAAGTTGAAAAATAAAAAGAATAAAGGATAAGGTAAAACCTAAAAAGGATATGTGATACCTTTCTATAGATAACAGTCACCCCCCTCAAATCCTCCCTACCCGTCGCTACGGATGCATAGGTATACATCGAAATATGATTGAATCCCCTGGACCGTAGTCTCCCGCTCCCTCGAGCGTTGCGTGACGACCGACACTAAAAACGGATGCGAGGGAGACTACCTGGACCGTGACGTTTCATGAAGTTTTTCCTATTATTATTATTGAATGTTTTACGCTTGTACGACTTTTGACGGGAAGCGATCGTATGTTCTGTGTTTTAGCCTTTTCTAGTACCTGTTGTTGCCTTTTTGTTATCAACGGGTACCATTTGATTTTCGATTTTATCCAGAAATCCCTAGTATTGGCGAAGAAAAAAGGGACGAAATTTTTAATAAATTACTTTTTTCTTTCATTTTTCGTAAAATGATATTTTATAACGAAAGTAAACAAACCAAATTTATTATAATTTTTTTCGTCGTTCATGAATTATTTGTAAAGTCTTTAAAAACGGGGATTATTTTGATAGGCGCTGGTGATCGAAATACTGGCATTACTTATTCATTATTTTCATTTTATGAGTAGTATTCAATTCTTCGTCTTTAACCTCTGTCAACTGAAATACGGATAAACACCTTATTAATAAGAGTTTTAAAATATTGAATATGGACTCACAGTTTCCAATTTAACAAGAAAACAAGTGGATTGATTTTGTTAGACTTAGTAATGGCGTTCCTCAAGGATCTTATTTTATTTACTGTTATCTCTTTGGTTGTTGTGTCTCATTCATTGTTTGTATTTGGATTGAAAAAATCAAGACACAATATTCATCGATATGGAAAATCTAAAGACGTTAGGACGACTTTTAGAAGAGATATGTCTTTGAGGTCGGCACGAGAGTTGTACACATTTACGGAGGATAATGATGGTATTCGATTAAAGAAAAAAGGCCACCATAAGAGGAAGCCAGACAGGACATCCAAGAGGCAAAACATCGAAGTTTCTGAGGTGTTAAAAGATCTTGCTGAGCTAGCAACAGCAGTGTCGGACGGGACAGGAAACACTTCGTTCACGACAACTGCTCCAGTAAACACTAATGTTCCTATAGTATGGCCAAATGCAACAGCTATGCCAACAACTGCTAACCCTACGGAAACTGCCACTGATAACCCTACGGGAACTGCCACAGCAAACCCCACCGGGAATCCCACGGGAACACCAACTGGAACGCCGTCAGGTACCCCCACGAGTACAGATTCTACCCTTACTGCAATGCCTACCTCCGCTTCTACCACGACAGGCACTACCACGACAGCTACTACCCCTTCTTCTTCAACAGCCAGTGGTAATGGAACCACATCTACAACAACAGCACCAGTTACTACTTCAACAACTCCGGCTCCTGGTAAAACCACTATTCCTGTAACAACCCAACCCACTACTAAGCCAACGCCAACGACGTCTACTCAAACAACTACAACTACTCCATTTACTATGATGCCTGGAAAGGACCTTCTGCCTTGGATAAAAAAGCTGTTGGAACAAGGAGGACTCGGAAGTACTGGCTTAACTGGTTTGCTTGGACAGGGAGGAATAAGTCCAGGTGTAATCATTCCAGGTGTTACAGGTGGACAAACTGGCATTCCAGGAATAACTGGACAAACGGGCATTCCAGGAATAACTGGACAAACTGGGATTCCTGGCATAACTGGACAAACTGGAATTCCTGGCATAACCGGACAAACTGGAATTCCTAGCATACCTGATATTCTTGGTATATCTGGAGAAACCGGAATTTCAGGACCTACTGGACAAGTTGTAGCTGCCGGTCAAGGTCTTACTGCTTTTCTAGGGCAAACCGGACTTGGTGGAGCAATTGGAAAGGTTATCCCCGAAATAAAAATATCTCCATCTGGCATGATAACCATCCATCACCATCAAGTCTTACCTTCAGGGATCCATACAGTTAAATTTCCTAGCACTAAAGTTCCTGGTGGGATTTTGCCAGGTCTTGATCCAAAGGGTGAGTTTGGATGAAGTACCTATAACTGGTTAAGAAAAATGTGATGTAAGGGATGTTTAGGTGTTTAAAATCATGCGAATTTAAAGAAACAATCAGGTCCACTTTTTATTTTTTTCAAAGAAATTAATACTATTACTCTTTCATATCTGATTTTTTTTATCTCATTTGATTTCATTTCGATCTCATTCTGACCATGGGTACACGTTATGAATCCTCAAAAAATCCCCAACGTTCATCCCAGATAAAAGAAAAGGGTTTGATATATTAATTCAATCTTGTTTTCTTTTCATCTCCTTTCAGCTCCTTGTAAGAATAAAGTGCGTTACTGCAAACAGTGGGCAAAGCGAGGAGAGTGCCTTAAAAACCCTGCATTTATGTTGGCTAATTGTAAGAAAAGCTGCACCTCTTGTGGTAAGTGCTATGGTAAAGATGTCATCTGAGATTGTGCATTCTAAGAAGACGTGAAAGCCCAAGTGCATGAGATTTAAGGGTTTCTTGTTTCAACTTATAGCAACGTGTTCCAACACCACTCCAAAGTGCATTCAATGGGCAAAGGCTGGAGAGTGTACCAGAAATGTGCAGTTTATGGAAGACAAATGCTGGAAGAGCTGCTCTGAATGTGGTAAGCATTCTTGATGAGGTAGCATCTTTATCGTCAATGTATGTTTTATCCTATTCCACAATCCTATATTCATGATATGTTTCCTATAGAAGTTTTTTTGGGGGTTTATTATGTAGGTTGTTCATGTGGTTGTTGTTGGTGGTGGTGGAGTAGGTGATGTTTTTGGTGGTGATGATAATGATGAATGATGATGAAGATGGCATTGGTAGTGATGGTTATGATCATGATGTTGGTGATGGCGAAGGAGCTGATGATGGTGATGGCGATGGTAATAGTGATGGCGCTGGTGACGATGACGATGGTGATGGTGCTCCAGGTTATGATGATTAAGCTAGTGGTGGTAATGATGATGATGATGATGATGATGATAATGATAGAGATGGTGATGGAGCTGGTGAAGGTGAAGGTGATGGTGATAGTTATGATGATTGTGATAGTGTTGGTGATGAAGCTGGTGATGGTGATAGTGATGACGAAGGTTATGCTGATAGTTATGAAGATGACCCTGGTAATGGTGCTCATGGTGATGGTGGTGATGATGATGGCTCTGATGATGATGATATGGTAATGCTGCAGATGATGATTGTGGTGGTGTTGAAACAGGTAATAATTATAATTAAAAAAAGTTACCAGAGGGAAATTTGTTCCCCCATCCAAGTACGTCTCTTTTTACTTTACCTTCATGTTCCATGTCTTATTATGTTTAATTTTCTTCTCAGCACCCTGTATGAACAAACATCCGCAAAAATGTTTGTTGTGGGCAAAGATGGGCGAATGCCACAAGAATCCAACATTTATGATGAGAGAGTGTTGGAAAAGCTGCTCGGGTTGCGGTGAGTACCTTTTCTTTTCTAAGTCAAACCCTTCCTTGAACACAACCTTGACCCTTTGCTTTCTTTTCAATTTGTACACTAGCTATTTCCGCGGATATCTTCTCTTTTTGGGAAATTTTCCTATTTTTTTTCATCTGATAAGAAACAAGATCAGAAAAGAAAATGACAAATGGAGAGAAAAGAGAACGACAAATGTATAGATTACAAGAGAAGAATAGAGAAGAAAAGGCCAAATAATAAATATTATATATTAAGGAGAGAGAGGATGACAATCAACGGGAAGAGAAGCAAGAGTTTAAGGCTGAGATGAAATGAAAGACAAAACAAGAGAAAAGGAAAAACTGTACTTGCTGTACGTGCTTATTGTTTAAACGAGTAATTAATGTCATGTAAACGTACCCATACATCACCTTGGTAAAACCTGCAGGTGTTGTAGTTAATTAGCTTTTTAAAGTTGAAGAAAATATTGGGTCGAGTTGATATTGCAGTGCATTGTGGGACTGTTTAAGGGGAGAAAATTTGACGCCATCTTGGAAAAATCTCCCCTAAAACAATCCCACGATGCACTTCAATGCCAATTCGACCCAGTCTTTTTTCTCAACCTTGGAATAGCTAATAGTTTTGCATTTCTTCACAGGGAAATGCGAGAATCACCTTCCCATGTGTGTAGCCTTGGCCAAGCGTGGAATGTGTCAAACGCATCCAGGAGCAATGTCAATGCTTTGCTGGAGAAGTTGCTCTGGCTGTGGTATGTTAACAGTCGATTTTTCTTTGTAATGGTTTGGTAGAGAACACTAGATATTAAGCGAATCAATTTTGGTGAATGTAAAAGAAGTCGAGTCGGAAACTTAAAAAGGTTTTATATGCATCAATTTCGTTCTTTCTTTCTTTCCTTCCTTCCTTCCGTTTTTTAGTAAATCTTAACAAAGCACTCGAACTTTGACCTTGATAATTGCATGTTGAGTCGTGGAAACGTTTTATACACCAATTCGAAATATGACGATTAATTTGAATAACTGTTGCTCTCGAATGACTAGCGACTAGCTATTTAGCCTCGTGTTCACGTGGAAACATAAAGCGTTTTCACAAGTATGCTAGTAACTCGCTAGTCAGGGCAGTTTATACATTGGTTAAAAATTGCATAACTTTGTTTGACTTTTTCCCTCCAGCCCCTTGCGTCGATCATCGGCAAGAATGTGAAGCTTGGGCCAACAAAGGAGAGTGTGTAAGAAACCCTGGCTTCATGAACAAAATCTGTTGGAGAAGCTGCTCTGCATGTGAGTAAAACATTTATACGCCAAATGCAACTATATGGCGACCAGTTTCAATAACGGTAGATCTGGACTGAGGACTGCCTAGCATCGTGTTCAAGTGGAAAAATAAAAGCGTTTTCACAAGTAGTATAAGAGGGTAGTCAGTTCAGAACAAGGGCAATTCAAATTGGAAGTGATATTTGCTTTCGGTGTATAGGATATGAAACAGTGCCATAGCCTTTTCTATGGTGTCTTTCTCTTTTGGGGTCTCATGGGCTATCCGTGTTGGTGGGTCGGTTGCACTGCTGAGATGAGGTGAAAACATAAATCCAAAAGGAAGACTGAACAAAGTGAGGAAAAAATGAAAAAAAGGGGAAAAAAAGACTTGATAAACAAACAAAAAAAGCAAGCATGGAAACTAGAGTTACAAGAAAGAAAGGAAGAAAGAAAGAGAGAAGGAGAAAGAATAAAGAAGAAATGAATAGCTAGAAAACATCTTGGGGTGGGGAGGGGAGGCCGGGATGGGGGAAGCAAACATGCAGGAAAGAGTTCAAGGAAGAAAGAAAGAGAAAGAAGGAGAAAGAATAAATTAAAGGAGGAACGTAACTAGAGTTTTAAGAAAGTAAGGAAGAAAGAAAGAGAGAAGGAGAAAGAATAAAGAATAAAGGAATAAAGGAATAAATAGCTAGAGAAAATATGGGGAGGGGGANGGGGGGGGGGAGCAAACATGGAGGAGAAACTTAAAGGAAGAAAGAAAGAAAGAAAAATTAGCATGCGCATTTCTTTTTTCCGCTGCAGGTTGCGTTGATAAGCACCTTAGCTGTAAACAGTGGGCCAAGGACGGGGAATGTACCAAGAACTCGAGCTTCATGAACCATAACTGTAGAAAGTCCTGCAGAAAGTGCTGAACCTACATATACTAATGCTTGTTAGAATAAGCATGATGTGATACAAACCATATCTATTACCATTTTGGCACATATCTTTATTCTTTAACCATTCCCTTCCTAGTACAAATGTTCGTGTAGACAACCACAACTAGTTCAAACTCGTTAATTTGTTCATACAACTGTCTTTTACTAGCCAGTCGATTTATTATTTTTAACTTTTTTCTGTTACATTTTTGTGTTTTACCTTTTTTGTTTTTGTTTGTTTGTTTAGGTTTTTTGTTTTTGTTTTTAATTTGTTGTTGTTGTCGTTGTCGTATTTGTTTTAGATTTTACCATTTGTATTTTCATGGACCCCTTCCACGAAATGCTTACGTATTTACTGGGGAATCTCGTCTCTGATCTCTACTTCCTATTGATGGTTTTCAACCATTCCCAAGAGAATTAAATAACAAAAGACACGGCGGCCATGTTGGAGGATATAACAAAATTATTCATTGACAATTCTTTTGTTAAGTTCCTCCAACATGGCCGCCGTGAAAACCATCAATATAGCCGACAAAATCATCTCTCTTTCGCTATATTTTCCTATTTACTTTCAAAATATTTCAAAATTTCATGTTATCCTCTGAAAAGTTCATGGGATCACAGGGTTAACATAATATCAGGCGGAATGCGGAGCAAAGTTATTTAAAAAATCATTTTTGTTATGCTTGGACCTTCATTGACTTACTGAAGTGTCTGCATGTGGGGGAGGGGGACAGGCCTAGTTTTCTCAAACTTGTCACTTATCTAAACCTGGTACCCATCCTCTTCGCGCCTCACGGCACATTTACACTTGACTCATTTACAAAAACAGAAATAATCGTGATTTGTGTTGGTATGTAAAATACATAAGACAAAGATATCTCATTAGCCAGAAACTACTGAATGCATCAGTCTTTACATCGCTTACGACTAGTGCACCAAGAATTCAGATACAATACCAACATTTTTAATATTCAGCCATCCATCCCGAGGTTGAAAAAAAGTGGTTCGAGTTAGAGTGACCACAGTAAATCCGTGAAACACTAATTACTAAATAGTACAAAATAGTGCTAATTAGACAATAGAAAACAATGGAATTTGCATGAAATTGTGCTATTTAGTATTACTAAAGTTTCACGGATTTACTGTGGCCACTCTAGTATTGCAGAGCATTTTGGGTCTGTGTTAGAGCACGAAATAGACGCCATCTTGGAAGTATGTCATCTAAATAAGACCCTCAATGCACTGCAATGCCAACGGGCCGTACCTCCCCACTGATTTAGTTTAAGATGCGACATTAATTCCGTTTTTCTTCGACATTCAAATATTGTTGCCTGCCTCGTCCTGTTTTATGTTGTCGCAAGATTCACTGTCAAACCCAAAAAATTCGGCACCAAACGTACTTGTAAAATATGGCAAAATATATTAATAAAAACATATCGATATATATATATATATATCATGTATATATCAGAGTTCCTGATTCTTGGCCAATTTATCTTTTGAGTATGTCTTGTAAAAAAAAAGATATTAGCTTAGGCTTCGTTCATAATGTATGGGGGAGGGGCAGGTGAAAATTTGAAATGTCCAGAATAATTCTCAACAACCCCCCTTAAAGTCATGCAAAAAATACGATCCCCCTTAGCAAGGCTTGTAGCTTCTTCCAAAAATTGTGCATCCCCTCCCCCCAATTTTCTGATAAAAAATTGCCCATCCCCCCCTTTTTCCTACCAAAATAATTTTCCCGATCCCCCCTCAATTTCATTTGACCACCCCTCCCCCCTTCTGCCATACATCATGAACGCAGCCTTACCTTGCAACCTCTGAACATGAAAAATTTGTTAATTAGAAATGCGAGAGCTAATCCGACATTTAGGGAGAAACTATCATTAAGTGATAATAAGGGTTACATCAGCTTGTCAAAGTTCCAAAAAATATTTTCCGAATGTCATGTGATGTGTAAACTAGTTAGAAAAAACAATTCATTAGCTTGCTATCTCTGGACATGGAAAATTCGTTCATTAAAAATGTAAGCAAGAGTTTACTCCGACATGTATGAAGATAGGAAGAAAAAAAATTAATATTTTAAAAGTCATATCAAGAGACACAATTAGTGTTGAACAACATGGATGATATTGCGAGCTATTGCACCACACTGTGCCTAGTGTCAAGAGGCTAAATTAAAAAAAATATATATATATATATTCTCTCTATTTCATTACTCACACCGAATGCATAATTTATTACTACTATTTAAAAAAATATGTTGAATTGATTTTTATGAATTGAACAAGTTCCAATAATATTTTTTTCCGAATGTCATAAACTCTTATGATGTGTGGTCGTCGTATCGCGTCTAGTCCAGAAAAGTTCGGATTTTAAAGCTGCTCTTCATTAAACCTTGGGACTCTTGGATTTGCATGATACATCTTTGTATAGTATGGCACATGTAGCGATTTCAAACATAACTAATCGAAAATTCTAGCATTGAATGCCTCAGTAGTAGTTTAAATAAATTATGTAATAAGTGTTTGTTGCTTAGTGAAGATTATATTGGTTATGAGATTGAGATTGAAGTAGGACGGTTATTATTACGTTAGGTTTTTTTACTGTGAAAGATGGACTCTAGTGCTACGTTCGTTTCCTTGTTCGTTCTTCTGTTGACAGCAAAATCTGCAGTCACCGAGATGTCAAGTGAAAACGGCCTTTTCTTTGATGCTTTTATTGGGCGTAAAATGTCTTTGCCCATCAACTCCACCGACATACATCAAAGGACGACTAACGTTTCTGACAAATTAGAGTGCATCTTCACTTGTTTGGGATTTCTTTGGTGCCTTTCAGTAAATTTCAATACAACTGCCCAAAGAGATGGCCTCTATGGATGTGGGCTACTATCTGTTGATAGATTCTCACACTCAGGGAGCTTAATAGAAGAAAAATCGTTCACTCATCTCAGTATCAAGGTACGCAAGTGTAGTGATAGTCACTTTTAACTTTTATTGGAAATTAGTATGCGTAATGAGGCCGAGTAAGATTAAAGCCTCGTCCACACGTATTCGGAAATTTTTGTATCCGCAAATTATTTTTTGCGGATACGAAAATGTTTGCGTCCACACGCAGCGTATTCGAATTGTTTTCACCGTTCTTTCGACGGGGCCTAAGGATTAATTTCACGAGTGTTTTCGAAGCGACAAGGGCAATTTCAAAACTTTGAAAACACAAGTGAAATTAATCTTTGATTCAGTTTACTCGGTCCCATCAACGATTACCCGTTTATAGTATACTTGGCAAAATGATCCAACGAAAATAAACTATCAAATCAAATGTAGTTGCGGTTCAAAATAATTGTTTATTCGGTCAGCAGAGTTCATAGCGTGTTTTTCGGTTCTTTCTGTGTGTTCCACAGCACAGACTACGTCATCAACTCATTTATATTTATGAAATAGACGGTTATTATGCAAGCGACCGTGTAGACCTCACACTGTGTGGACCTCGCTTGAGACCATTTCGCGGACTTCAAGTTTTACTTCTGTACAAAAGATATCATCGATCGCTGAGCTTAAAACAATTAATATAATTGTTTGCCATGCAAAACGAGAAGCTATTTTGAAAACAGTTTATGAGCGTTGCTAGGCACCTGAACTACCATTCATTTTCTAATAAATTGGCCCCGAATTACGGAAAAAAGCCCTCCTTCATTAGCCAATCAGCATCAAGCAATTTTGCCCTGTATATGATAAGAAATTTTACTATCGAGGGGTGACTAAATGTTTGGCCAGTTACGCAACAGATACTGGAGCCAGTTACTTTTCTTTCTTTCGATATTTCGGCCTTTACGGATTCATGAGCTAAGCTAAGGAGAAGGAAACGGGAGGGGGTATTCATTCGTTGAGCTTTTTTGTGTGTTTGTTTCTTTGGTTGTTTTAACCTGCTTTGCAAACTCGATTTTTTTACGCTGGATGATCTCTGCTCGGTTCCACGATGGTCGGTTGCTATGGCTTTTCCTCCCTCAAGGGTCTTAAATTCACATTTTGGCTTACAGAGGATCGAGTAGTTTCTATTCCAAATACAGCAAGACATTGAAACATGTTATTTAGAAATTCAGCAGACTCCAGTTTTTCGCGAGATCACCGAGCGTAAAAAAATCGAGTCTGCAAAGCAGGCTATGGTTGTTTGAGCCTCTAGCATTTGATTAAGCGTATATGTCTACTAGCTTTACTGATTTTACATCAAACGCCCGGCCATTCCCCATCCCCCATATACCAAATTCCCTATCAATGTCGTGCTTCTGGAAGTTCCAGGAGGCCAGTAAATATATAATATATAGAAACATATTTTTTCTAGAACCCTTGTGCAGAGATGCCTTGTCTTAATGGCGGTACTTGTGTCATTCAATACAACCGAGAAGACTATGCATGCGCCTGCAGACCAGAAAACAGCGGAGATCACTGTGAAAATGGTAAGTTTGTTTACTTGTGTTTTTTTATTAAAAATATTATAATGAGAATAAATGGAATAGACAAAAAGATTACGTATACCTTTCCCCAGAATTACATTGAGAAGATTCCATGAATGCGATACTTTTCGGTAGACTATGCTTAACGTGACCGTACTCTGTAATTTGTTCGCGTTCAAGCAAAAACTACTCTCTTAAGAGCACGCTTCTATTACGTCGTTCCTTCAATTCTGCGCGTCGTATTCCGTCAAACATCGTAGATCAGCGCATGGCTCGCGATCACCCTCACGCGCTGTGCATGATGGTATCAAATTAAACTTGACTGCGTGCTGGGTAACATTTGTTTTTATTAAAACCGGTAATTTAGTTGCTAATTTTTTATTTATTTATTTTTTCCATAGTGTTATATTTAAATATTTCCATTCGATCAGTAGCAGCCGAAGATAACATTCCTATCACTTCGTGCACACGTTCCATGATTCAAGTGAACAACGTTGAAAACTGTTTAAATGTAAGTTGCAAGTTAGTTAATTTTGTGAGCGCTATATATCCACGCGCAATATATGGATCTGTTCTTCCAACTCCGTATTGTATCCAGCTGAGGAGGGTGTTAGGGCTTTTACTTGAATAGAGGGTTTGTCTCACTAGTCTGAGATAGGTTCTCCAGTTTCCTTCCCTCTGTCAAACTATGCCATTTTGATGGGTCTCTTAATTGATTGGAAGGTTTGGAAGCGTGGTAATTTCCGATTTGATCTAGCAGTGCCCCATGGCATGCCCTGACTTAGATCAGTCCAGAGGTTGTTTCAGTGTCACAGAATATATAGGTGGACATATCCGGGACTTTTCTATTGTTTTGGCGTGAAGTTCAAACCATGTTCAATGGGCTGTGACTCGTTAAAAGAGCAAAATTACAAGAGAATTGGGTTAAATTAGCTCATGTTGGCTATGAAAAAGCCGTTGAGCCGTTTCAACAGAGTTCTCAGGCTCCGTCCACACTCCGTCAAACACAGATTAAGGAGACAACTGAGAAGCGGCTTTCATCAATCTCACACCTCGCTCGAGGGATACGCTTCGCGGCGTTCTGCTTCACGCTTAGCTCTTTTTGAGTTAACCAATCAGAGCTTTAGAAATGTTGTTATCATTCAAATTTATGCCCGCCTACAAATTAAGATGTATGTGAAAATCTGAACTGTAAGTTCATGTCCCTAGAACAATAGGCATTCTGTGCGATGATCAATCTATGAGTTATCCGTGCCCTGACTTAGATCAGCCCAGAGGTTGTTTCAGGGTATCAATCTGTTAGTCATCCGTGCCCTGAACTATAAGATCAGCTCAGAGGTTGTTTAAGGGTATCAATCTGTGAACCATCCGTGCCCTGACTAGATCAGCCCATGCAGAGTTTATTCAGTGCAGGGTTCTACTTATATAAAGTTGTCGAGAATGGAGAGCTGAAGTTGAGAACAAAAACTAAGTTCCTTCTTTCTGCGTTTTCAGGGTAGAGGTCATAATATCGTTGTCTACAACAAGTTTGGTGTCTTTCAGACTAATACATCCTTCGACACGCATGATAGCAGCTCATCTGGCCAACAGATGAAGAAGTTCTTGGAAGAACTCCCAAACGAAAGCATCGTTCTGATTGCAGTCTGGGATAGCGGTAGTACTTACTTTGGGGACGCAGTCAACGCCTTGAAGTCCATCGGTGCAACCAATCCCAATGCTGTATCTCAGTATAGGAGCTCATGGTTGTTAGTTGGGTACAAGGGAGGCTCGCCGTCTTGGATAACTGAGAAAAGAGCGGAACGATACAATGGACCCTGCTTTGCAAATGTTAAGATCCCGATACCAGTCGACCTTTCGTAAATTTTGATCTTCTACTATAATCATGCACCAAGCACTTGAGACAGAACGATCCGATGGACCCTGCTTTGCAAATGTCAAGATCCCGATACCAGTCGACCTTTCGTAAATTTTGCTCTTCTACTATAATCATGCACCAAGCACTTGTGACAGAACGATCCAATGGACCCTGCTTTACAAATGTCAAGATCCCGATACCTACTAGCCCTTTCTCATAAGATGCATACCACTTTTTTTGAGCATTTATCAAACTGATATTGTCGTTTGCGCGGTATCCCTGTGTTTTTAAACGTTTTGGGCTTCTGGGCTCCCTTTATCTAATGCCAGGTTCCTAAGCTAATATAAACTCAAGATGGCGGACGTAAAAAGTGTTTCATCGTATCTGCAAGTATTTATTCATATTTTCGACAATTCAAAGCCTTTAAATGGAGAAAAAAATCACAAAAATAGAATCTATATTCACCTCCAAATAAGGTAAGCTTAAAATATATGCATATAAAGTTGATGGCCACGCGAACGATAATTTTATCGAAGGAAAGTTGATGATGGCGGATCACAGAAGTCATGTCGCAGTGGCTATTCAAAGATTTCTATTAAAAGCCTGCGGTATTCTAAAACATGACATTAGTTAAAGTTATAAACTCTTTACGTAACTTTTGATTTTTGCGAATGATTTGATCTTTTAAAAACGATGACTGATAAACACAGTGGTTTTACTGAATGAACCTGTAATGTGATGAAAAAGGACTAAATATTAAACTTTGTCCAAGTGAAGAAGTATAACGAGTTTACTTTTGCTTCTCAAGATAGAATCGACTTAACTTAGGCCTAGGGCTAACGTCGAACAACTTAATTACATCAAAGAATGCCGCCTCATTATCACCTGATATCCATTGTTTTTAATGAGTTCGGTACATGGAAAGTTCGACGTTTGCGCTAGGCCAAAATTACTCTTTATTTTATCATTTCTTATGCGAATTAATATCACTACACGTTCAAAACTTGTTCAGTGTTCACTCTTTTTCTCGATTCTCATTGGTGCAGGACACACAGCCATTTCTTAGAGTCATTTTCTTCAAACCACAAAACAGTTTCTGGTAAAGTGGAAGCATTGAACCGTGAAATAAAAATAGTTAGTTAACGTGTAATAGTCAAATAGACACAAAAGAAAACGATGGTTTTAATAGGGTATACTAATGTGTATTAGTCTAATATCTATTTCACAGGTTTATTGACTTCACTCAAATTTATAGCCGGTATGATATAGTCAATAAGAATACACACACACACACACAAAAATTGAAATAAGATCTACTCACTTCTAATAGTCTAGGCTTCCTGTCTGTTTTCTTGATATGATCATTTTTCTAGCTTGATTAAAGCTTTTCTTACTGCTGCTAAGATAGCTAACTAAAGAAATCTACCTAAATTTTCTCTTTAAAGTCAGTGAAGTTGTATGGAAATCCGAGAACGATGTCCGAACTTTTTGGTGACCGTAACACAATCCAAGTTAGCGCCGAAAAGGTGAATTCATCCCATTTCTAGAATGCCTTTCGGTCTCAGCTTCTATGTTCTCTGTTTTGATCCCGACAATGATTTTGCGATTTAGTGTATTACAAATGCTTTTTTTTACTTATATGAATATGACCTACGCTATACACAGCCTTTAATTGGTATTCAGTATTAGGCCCCGTCCACACGTATCCGGAAATTTTTGTATTTGCGGATACGTGTGGACGGGGCCTCAAAGACAACCATTGATAAATTAAGGCCTCATTTACACCTTACAAAAAAATACATTTTTCAAAAAAATTTTTTTGTCAACACACAGCTTTTTCGAATCGTTTTTCAACGTAACCGTCCACATGTATTCATTTTCAAAAAGTTGCTTTTTACATGTTACCCATGCACTACGGTGGATGGAAGGCCAAAATTAAACTAAATAAAACATTTCAAATTAGAAAAAAATATCCGGATACGTGTTGATGAGGCCTAATCAGTGTATTGTAGTGGAAATAATACAAGCACGACAGTAGACACACTGCTCACGGGCGCCAGGACGGAGCTGTGATAATATTCACTTCATTTTATTCCGAGAAGACTGAACAACATCAAAACCTAGTTAGGGAACCGAAAAATCTTTGATTCCAGCTAATTCTTTAGTACATATTTCTTAATTGTACAGAGTTTATCACATATACTACGTATACCATAGACATCTAGTACTGAACCATGAGAAGCGCTGTAAACGTGGAACGTTGGTGGAGCGAAATGTTGAACTGACTAGGCTACTGGCACGTGTTGGTAGAACAAGTATGCAAGCTTGAACTTTTTGTCCGACAGACTTCTTCATTTAATAACAGTAAGTCAAAAACTCTACTATGTATTGGCAATTCAGTGTTATCAGACAAAACTTTTGGCGGCCTTCGGTTAAAAAAGTCATTGCGCGTCGGGTCGAATGTTATTCCATTATGATATTATCATAATTTGTGATTTACCTATTTATTTATAATTTATCTATATAAATTATTGTTAATGCCGCAACCATTAGTACTTTAAACGATCTTGCAAATTAAAGAATGGATGCAGTATCAAACGAAGCAGCTTTGCAACACGAGTAAACAGGCTGTAATGTTATACTCTCAGCTGTGCAGTGTTAACGGAAGTCTGTCTGACCCTTGTACTGTGAGCTGCGGTGTACCACAAGGCAGTAATTTAGGYCCACTTTTATTTCTCCTGTATATTAATGACTTACCAAATTGTTTGGCGCAAGCCATAACAAGAATGTTTGCTGATGATACCAGCATCAGCGTTCATGGCAAAAATGTGGGAGACTTGGAACCAAGCATCAACACTGAACTCACTAATATACATCATTGGTTGTTAGCAAATAAGCTAAGCTTGAATGTAGCGAAAACGAAATTTATGATTATTGGGTCCCGCCAAATTAAAGTTCCCAGCGCAATGCGATTCCACTATTAATATTGCGATCAATGGAACTAGCGTCAAACAAGTTGATCACACCGAATCTTTGGGTGTCACTATCGATAAAAACATAGACGTAAACCTTAATTAAAGTGCACATGAACCCTTCGACAATACTTTCAGTACTGATTCTACACGAAGTAAATAGTTGAATGGTAAAATATTTCTTGATTTGAGTGATGCGT